TTCATACATTTGATAATTGACACATGTATAATAATAATATTAGACATATGGCATTATTTAATGGACTAAAACATGAACTGTAAGAAATATTGGAACAAGAGTGAACCCAAAATATTAAAGGTCTTCTACAAAATGAAGCTCTGTCGTGTAAATTTCCTTGCGGTGCGCATGCAGAAGAAAAACTACAAACAAGATAGTGGACATACATGACCTAGGCAATTATATTTCGGAGACGTACCTACGTTTTCTTACATCAGTTGAAAATAGCCACAGGAGTAGCACACTTGACAATTGTGAGATAGATAAAAAAAAAATCATGAGTATTATGTTTATGAATCAATAGACAAAATCGTAAGCAGATAATTTTGACCACGCACATACTGGCTTTCAGAAAAATATTTCCATAAAAATAAAATAAAACACAATATATGGGAACAAATGTAACATACGAAGCTGCAACAAGTTATGACAAATTTTTACTGTAGTTTTACACGGGGTGTTAGACTGCCGTGCGTGCACGGCGTGTCCAAATCTAGTCTATATATATATATATATATATATATATATCTAAATTTTTGCTGCAAAGTCATCGGATGACTCGACTTATGGAGTCATCCACACTTATTCACCAATAGTGTATTGACACGTGTCCTACAAATACAATAAATACAATTTGGACATGTGTCAAAACATTAAGTGGTGGATGACTCCATAAGAAAACTACTTGATGGCTTCATAGAACTTTTTTCTATATCTATATATATTGAAAGAGGTTGACAGTAAAATCAATAGTGGAAAGCTAAAAAAAATGAGGCAAATGTTTGGCTTACCAATTATGGAAATGTTGCTTGATATTTATATTTTGTGATCACGCGCTTAGAAAATTGGATTTGAAGATTTAAAATCATTTATGGTCCACACATTAGTTTGGAAATGTAACTAGTATTTGATCATGTGCATTTGCACGGATATAAACACGTTTTTGTTTGTATTTATTAATTAGACATGTACTTCTATCATATAAAAGTTTATACTTTTTCTTAAGTTATTTTTATCATTCAAAATTAATTGAGATTTAAATTTTATTTAACCATGCAACGTTTACATTAGTAACATTAATAAAATAATATATATATTTGTGGCATATATTAAGAAAATTAACATAAATAAAAGACATTATTGGTGATTCTGATTTTTAGAGAAAAAAATGTGTCAATCATATTTTTCGTTCAACAATGCAACCAAATATAGTGGTTACAACTCTGAATGTGTCATCAACTTGAATATTTGAATATTTTGCTACCAAATTTAGAATTAATTTAGTAACTGATCCAAAAAATAAACAATATATGTATATATATATATATATTAAGGTGTAACGGTTTTAGCAGATTAGTGAGTAATTAATTAAAAAAAAAGTAACTCTTTTTGGAGGGAAATGAAAATAGGTTTTATTAAATATTTTATTAAATACATCAGCTAGTAATTATATATATAGATTAGAAATCCGGATCAATTTTTTAATGTTGCAGTAGAAATTGGATTTTAATTTCAAATTTTACATGAGATCATTTTTTCAAGTAATTTTGATTTTCTTTAGGAAATTTTAAATCATTTATGGTCTAAAGATTTATTTAAATTTTAATATTTATAAATAATAAAATGAAAATCAATTATACCTACGTATTATAACGGGTAATTATTTAATTTTATGAATAATAAAATAAAAAATAAATTATACCTACATGTTGTAAATCGTGTAATTATTATTATTTT